CCAAGTGGCAGGGAAGCTGCAGAAGGAGGCTCATGATTGAAGGTGCAATTCCCAAAAGAGCAGTTTTCTGTCAAGCTGTCAGCAGGGTTTGGTGCTTTTCCAGAGGTGCAGATGTACTCGAGCTGTGGGAAGCTGAGAGCTAAAGCAAGTCCACCTCTCCTGCTTCTGCTTCCCTACCACACAGCCTGTTCCTCCTGCCTTTGCAGCACTGAGGGATGGACGGGCTCATGCCTGGGCTGGGATTGCATTCCCAGGCTTGGAGTGGCACTGCCACCAGCTGTGGTGCAGCTGAGCAGGGCTGGGTGTCCCGGGCTCCTGTGCTGTCACAGATGTGTTTGCCACCACAGCAGAGCAGGCTCCAGCTGTGCTTCACAGGTGCCTGAGTCACCGGGGTGAAAAGCATAAAAACAACAACACAAAAGCTGCTGGTTTGCAGCAAGGAGTGGGAAGCTGGGAGTTCCTTCAGCAACGTGTCCCAGGAATGGAGATGAGTGGCACAGCAGCAGCTCAGCAGCGTGGTCCTCGTGTGGCTGCAGAGAAGGTGCTCAGCAGTCGGCTCAGGCGTTCGTCTGCCCCCACGCTGACAGATGAAGTGTCCACAGCAGCAAACCAGCTGCATTTCAATGGTGGCTGCCTGGTCTGAATGCTGCACACTCAGGTTTGAAATGAAATTCCAGCTCGTTGCTGTGCTGACAAGCTGCAGATGATGGCTCTGAACATGACACACAGTTCAGTCCCCCAGCTGCTTATCCTGGCCTCTGCTCTGGGCTTGCCAGAAAGTTGCCTTCTCCCTATCAGAAAGAGGAGATAAAATATTAGAAACTGCTTTATTAGGACAATATTGCTGCTGTGAGACTGGGGAGCCCTAAGGCTGGTAAAGTCCAGTTGTTTCATAAGGTTTAGCCATATTTTCCTGAGCCTTTTGAAAGAGGTCATGAAAAAAACAAAACAAGATCATGAGCCAGCAACTGTGGATTTGGTGGATGTCCTAAAGGGAGTGACAGAAAACACAGGGAGAGGGAGTTTTTATGGCAGGCAGAGTGTTCATGCTTCAGTAACTCGGAGCATCTGTTTGAGCTTTGCCTGCCATGATGGGTGAGGCAGAATCAGGAGATGTCATGTAATTGGGTTTCCATAAAGAACATGATATCAAACATTCATGAGCAAGGCAAAAATTCCCAGAAAATAAGGTGGTGTCATCCCAAACTGTTGCAGATGGAGATTTCTTCTGAAGATGTGCAAAGGCAACAGCATTTGACAACTTGGGCACTTTTTATTCCTTCTCTGGAAGATGGTCTACAGTGGTAAGAGAAAATTACTGAAATATCACCGAGGTTTTTAGCTAGCTTTAGGAAAAAAGAGAGGGTTTGAGGGATTTTTGGTTGAACTGTTAGAGTGCTGCTGTCATTTGATTTATTCTGAATGAGCAACAAAAGAGAGAAATAAAAGCTTCTCTGTGAGTGGTTAATTTTCACAAATGTGAATTTTTCCTAGCAGGAGCAAGAGGATTTCAGCACAGGCTGGTGTGAGGCTCTGAAAATGCCAAGTGTCTTCTCTTGGAAGATGGAAAACAAAGTTGGCACCAATTATTAGTGGCTGATTTGGCAAAAGTTGCTGAAAATTGACATCTGAGGGAGAGGTTTTGGGATGATTTAGTAAAGCATTGCAGTATGGGATTACTTTTGTGATGTTACTGTGCAAAGTGCAGGGGTGATCAGAAGGAATGTAATGTGGAAAATGTGAAGGGTGAATTTGGTGTCTTATTTAGTTCTTTGTGCTTTCTCTTGAGCTCTTCTAGCATATTGTTAGCAGTACAATGATACAGCAAAGTTGCTGACATTAACTAAGTAAAGTTGAGATGCCAAAACACCACAAATATTTAATTTACTACATATGGAACTTTGTTTTTCTTCCCTTTTGCTAAGATATGGGTATTAATTTCTCTTGGATGCAACTGTCATTTAGGAGCAAATCCAACATGGGAATAACTTTGTATGGTCCAGCAAATCCATCAATTCATCATCCAAGAGCCTGAGAGGCAGAGCAGCACTGGAGGAGGACTCCGTGGGGTTTGTGGTCAGGCGTGTGTGGAGGCATCCCTGCCTGCCCAGGGACAGCCTCTGGGAAAGAGCACTGGGTGGGAAGTTGGGATGTGAACCAGAAATCTTGCAGCTACTGTTGTGAATGTTTTGAGCCGTGTTTCTGGTCTTGGGATGGTTCCAGCACCAGCTGGAGCCAGTGTGGCTTTCCCTCTGCTGGGAAGCACATGGGGTTGGTGTCTCAGAGGTACCAGTGCCCAACACTGGCTGTGTTATCCTGAGGGGAGCAGCTGAGGGGTGAAGCTAATTGTGTATGTGTGGAATTTTTATGCTCCCAAGAAAATTTAGAGTGGTTGGTTGGCGCCTAGTGGGAGTGAGATGACTTCCAGGGAACGTCCTGATAACTTTTCTCAGGAGTTGGCAGGACTGTAGGGACTACAGTGTGACAGTGATGAAGTGAGCAGCAAAGAGGGAGGACAGGCAGTTTTCGCTGCAGGATGGTAGGATCACATTTTGCCTCTGGCTGATTTACTCACAGCAGGAATAAAGGTAGTGTCAGGAGTTAGTTTGACACATAAGGGAGAGAAATGAAAGCACAAAAGCTCAAGATACCTTGACAGCCAATCACCCACCCAAATAACAGCCCCCCAGCCAGCAGAGCTGGCTGTCCACAACCTCACTGCATGGCTCAGGCTCTCCCCCTGCCCATCTCTGCTGTTCTGCAGTAGCAGCTCTGATAGCTTTGCTTTGCTGCTGATTGCTTTAACTTTTTATACACAGCAGAGAGAAGACATGACCTGCAGCTCCTGCCAGCCTAGCCTTACTTTTCTACAGAGCTTTTAAGATTTATGGTCATATTTTACAGTAACTGTGATTTTTCTTATAGATCGTGAATATATGATTGCCCCATGATGCCATAGCAAGCCTCCACTGTGATGACTTGCTCATTACTTCTGAGCACTAGCAAGGCAGTTTGAACACTGAAGTTTTCCTGGTGGAGTAATCCACGAGGCAGGGCTGGAGCTGGCTGCTTGGCGGGTCTGGAGCCTGCTAAGGAGCTGCCTCCAGTTCTTCCAGGCCAGGCTCTTTCACCCTCCATGGTGCACCTGGGAGTGACAGCTGGGCTCTGCTTGAGGGATGAATTCTCATGCTGAATCATGGATTCTGACCAGAGTAACTTTAAAAGCTTGTGGCCTCAGGAGCAGAAGCTGCTAGGAGCCCTGTGGCTGGCAGTGAGAACGTGGTGGTTGTGCTTGTTAGCTACATGAAATGCTGCTGTTTGGGGAGAAGGACACTGAGGAGTGTTAGACCACCACGTGGGACCTTCTCTGTGTCCACTGGGCAAGGGGAGCCCTGGCAGTGCAGTGCAGAGGAGATCCCTGCAGCTATGGATCTCAGGACAAGCCTGTCCTTGAAGCTTGCTGGAAACTGGCAGGAAGCTGTGTCTTTCAGGGGCTTCCTTTACCTGGAGGTCTCTTCATGGAGAACAGGGATCAGCCTCTCACCACACAAGGCACAGCCTGGGGCCCAGAGCAGTAAGGATTGCTCCATGGGGACTGGGGATGCCTGGTGTCTGTGCAGGTCGGTGTGTTGTTGTCACCTCAGTGGGGAGCTGAGGGGATGCTGCTCAGGCTGCACATTGCCCAGGACCTGCTGATACAGCAGCCTGAGGCAGCAGAGTTCAGGCAAGAGCACAGATGTTCTTGTAATGAGCCCAGTGATCTGGTGACTCACTCCCTTCCCAAGCAGCCACTTTTGATGTGAAAACTTCAATAAATGGAAATAGAGAATCCACTTTTGTAACATTTCCAAGAGCTGTTTCTCATTTCTGGTTTGAAGGTGATGGCTTGGGCTTCCTCCCTTTGCTTCCCATTATATTTCTGTGAATGAAGCATTGGGACTTTTACTCAACCCACAGCCCACTCTGTACTTTTGCTGACCTCTCTGAGTCTTTCCTGACATTTCCTAAAAAAAGAGGTTCTCAGTGGTGATTCCAGTCTCTTGTAATGCAAATGGTAATAATGATAGGAATGCTAATTATTGTTATTCTGTAAGATGAAATGTCAAGATTCCATATTTTCATGTTAATTTTTAGTATGTAAGTGCCACATTAAGCATGTCCATCCTGTCAGGGAACATGCTTTTCATATCACAGGAACTGTTATAAATCATTAGTAATGAAGGAGACAACTGTTGTGCCTTGTGGGCTGGTCTGTGACATACAGTAATGCAAAGTGATGTGGAAAATTTGGAATGAAGGATGAAAAGCTGTTAAAAAAATTGTGGATGTAACTATAAATTTATTAATGTTGTATCTAAAATGTGATTCTGGGCTGTAATGATAAAGAGGATCCATGTCACTACTGTTGGATTGCATGTGTGTAACTAGGAAAGGAGCTAAAGGGTTGAGGCTGGGGGAGAGGTTTGGTGGTACCTGTGTGGATAGCAAAAGACTGTATTGGCAACTGCATTCACCTTAAAATAGGAGTCTGTGGGCAGCAAGATCAGGTTTTGAAGTATGTGTCTATCTTTAATTTTTCTAAATAGAGGCTACCCTGGGTAGCACAGGATCCCTGGACAGTGCATTCTGTTGGAAGTACTTTTAAGCAACATGTATTTTGCTGCAAACAGCTCCATTCTTCTCATCAAGGCATTGGTTAAACCTGCTGCTCTTTGGGGCCTGTATTATTATTATTATTATTATTATTATTATTATTATTATTATTATTATTTATTATTATTATGCAGCATTACTTTGCAGAAAGTATTGCCTTTACTTTGCAAAATAAAAACATTTTGGGTCATATTTCTCTCTCATTTAGGTAGTTTTTAATTGACATTTTGTGAAACTAACGCTGTTATGCATCACTCAGAACCTAACAAATGCTGCTACTTCGAATTAATCAAAGCTGAAACCCGAACCTCTCGTGGCTGGTGACTCTTTTGTGTGTTTGATCCCAGGCTCCAGCCTCACTGCCTTGGAGCATCAGCTGGGCCTCGCGGAGGAGCAGGTGCAGAGGTGGAGGCAGCGCCGCCGGAGGCACGCCACAGAGGACGACTACAACATCGAAGTCCTCCTGGGGGTTGATGACTCAGTTGTTCAGTTCCATGGGAAAGAACACGTTCAGAAGTACCTGCTGACCTTGATGAACATTGTGAGTACAGCCCTGCTCGCTGCCCGGTGGGAAGGCTCTGAAAGGGCTGGGAATGTAGGTTGGGTAAGCCATTTGGATAAGACACAACAGATTTTGCTCGTGGCAGGAGATAAAATAACTCTAGGAGGGAAATCCAGGCCACTTTCAGAAATCCAATAGGGGAGAAGCAAAAAAAAAAAAAAAAAAAAAAAAAAGAAAGGAGCCAAGACAGAAGCTGAGTGTGGGACTGTTAAAAATGTTCAAAGTCATTCTTATGTGCTTTAGTGGGTGGGACACAAGGTCAGGGCTCAGGTTTTTGGAAGTCATTATGTTTCAGCTGTATATTCCCTTAACCTAAGCTTCCTGCTGAGGAACACTGTTTGGAGAACTGTCTTCAAATAAGGTTTTAACAGAAATTACAACTGGCTTTTACATTTTTAAAACTACTCTGCTGAATTCTTTGATTTCTCAACAGCCACTTTAGGTCCCAGGCCACCTCCCTGCTTCTTGTTCACACTGCAGTGAAATGTTATGCAGTGTAACACTGAGCTTTCTTAAATTGATATAGTATTTACTCCATGACTGACATCTTTAGGTTTCCTTAGTTAAATATTTAATCTTCAGAACCATAGTCTGTGTAACAGACTTTGTAGTGTAGGAGTGATGAAAGGAGACACTAGGGAATATTTTGTTTGAAATAATCACTTTGTATTTCTAAATATCAATGTCTAGTACCCCAGACAGTAAGCAAGGACACTATTTTTTGGAAGAGAATGAAGACTTGAAAAACCATCCCTAGTACAGATCAAAATCAAAATATATACATTTTTTTTCCCTGAAGAAATAAAAATAAGTGGTAGCCCCCCTCACAGACAACTCATTTGGGGATGACTTTCTTCCTTCTTCTTCTCATCTGGAACAGGAGTCTTTTCTCAATAAAATACACTTCTGAAAAAGCTTTGGCCTCAGTGAATGTGTGTTCTTAGTAAAATAGTGTTGAGCAAAAAATTGTAGGTCTGCTCTGTTTTTGACAAATGGAGTCTGGCTGCTGAAGTTTGCAGTCGTGTCAAGAGGATGAGCCTGTAGATGACTCCTTTCACTTTGCAAACCACAGAGGCAGAAATCCAGGCTATTGGGTAGATTTGTCTGGGATGTAGTTTTTCCAAGATGTATTTTTTTAATTATGAAGCTTGTTTTTTTTCTTTCTTTATTACTTTCTTTTAGCAATGTGCAGAATATCACTGTTTTTCATTTTAAATGAGAGGTGGAATACAATTTAGGAAAATCCCTTGTGTGATATGAATTCAGTTATGACTTTTTATAACAGCATTGTAAATAGTTAAAAACCTGCCCTGACATTAGAGTTATGGGGTACTTGGTGTCTGCTCTGATGGCTGTAAATGCATATATTCTAACAGAAATGACATAGTGGATTTAATTTATTTGTGTGGTTTGTTTCCTCTGAGGCTTAAAACAAAGTCTACAGTGAAACAGATGGTTTTCTGCATCTCTAAATTAACAAGTCAAACAGACCAAACCAGGAATGTGGCAAACAGGCCAAAATAGATTAAACAGGACTTTTTACTTATCATGTCACTTAAATCTATTTTTAAGAATTAAAATATACAGTAATGGTAAAGAAGCCATAAATGTTCCAGCTCTGGAATATACTTTTTCCTAATTTTAGTAAACCATCCAAGACACAAATTGCAAGAAATAACAACTCTTCAGCAGCCTGTCTCTGCAAGTGGTTTAGAAAGTGCAGCCTGTGTAACCATCCCCACAGGGCACAGCAGCTCTTGGCATAGGCAGCAACTGTTCTGTTGAGAGATCTGAGGTAGAACCATGTCTTTTGGGGACTGAGGATGTGTCCCATGCCTTGTGCCCAAATTCAAGGAGCTGCTTGAAACCCCCAAGGCCTCTTGAAAGGCTCTGGATAGTCGCTGGCAGTCATCAGTGTTGTCCTGTTCTTTCCTTCAAAACTCAGCTGGTTTCTGGAGTCTGTATTTTGGCAGAGGGGTGGTGATGATAACCAGTCCTGTTTCCAGCTCCAGCACAGGGAGGCAGGAGGGGTTTGTTACTGCAGATGGTGGTGCTGGGGACCTGGTTTGTGCCAAGGACAACACAATGCAGAACCTCTCCTTCCTCGCAGCAGGGCAGCTCCAGCTCTTGCTCTCACTGCTAGATGGGTGCAAGGTGTGATTCTGTGTAGAACGTGGCTTTGGTCTCCTTTCCTGAGATTCACACTGACTCCCCCATTGCCCTCTCTTCTTCCTCTTTGAGTGGTTGGGGGTTTTTGTTTAGAAAATGAGCCCACTATAAAAGGCCTTGGTGTCCCTGGCTGTTAGGGGTCACATGGATGCAATGTGTCTCTGATGAGATATGTAGGTCCAAGATCACATATCTTGAAAAAGAAAAGATAGTGACAAACAATTCCAGCTGTATTTTTAAATCTAATTGGAGATCCTCTCATAACCATCAGATTGTGTGTACCCTACTGGGTTTAGGATGCAATCAATTAGCTTCCTATTGTAACAAGGCATAGAATCAATTACCTTTGTATGGTAACGAGGTAGTAAGCATAAAATCAAGAATGCATGGTAACAAAATAAAATAATAGTGAAGGTATTTACTGGAGATAAAACAGGTGATCAAATATTTGAATTTCTGAGGTTCCAAAAATGAAATAAATCTTAGGTGAATTGTCCTTCCTGGGGAAAGACATTACTTTCCCAGAAGCAACTCCCAGCATGGCTGCTTCTCTCACTGTTCTTGATCTCCTTATGTGTGATGGCGTGAGCAGTTGTCCTTAACTAACTTTTCCTAGGGATCTTGGGTGGAACCCTACCACTAACCCAATCAAAACAATATATTTTTTTTTCCAAGTGCAGTGCAGTGACTGTAAATTCAGTAAAATCTGTTTTGTGCAGCTTAAGTGATGTGTTACAGTCCACACCTAAAAGCCATGAAGTGAGAAAAAACAGGGGTTGGGTGTCCTGGCTATCTTGAATAGCTGTGCTAATATTTATCCCAAAGTTTGGAAATGAAGTCACTCCCAAACAAATGGTGATAGATGCCAGAGGATTTTTAACACGTTGGGCTGCAGCCACGTATTGTCTGACTGTGCGCCAGCCGTTCCACTGCAGTGAGCTCGGCCTCATGCCTCCCCTTTTTCATCCTCCAGTCATTTCCTCTGAAAAAACTCTTGTTTCTCTTGACCTCCTCTCTTTTCTCTGCTCAGCACCATTGGGACATTCAGTCACCTTTGGAAAATATGCCATTGTTTTTGCTTTAGAGACCCTCGGCTGCCTCTCGCTCACACCATTTTCACTTGCATGTCATGCTGTGTTTTTTCCTGGGGAGGATATTGGCCTGCACAGTCCTCTGCATTTCCAAGCATGAGCCCACACATTGCACTAATTAACTTTGTATTTATAGCATGCAGGAGCATTTCCACAGAGGAGAGATATTTGGGTGGAATCTTGTAGTTCTGTAGCTGCTCAAGAACATGGAAGGAACTTCAATTTCAGCAAGAAAGCATCTCAACCCCTCAGTAATTTTATCTGTTTGTACAATTGTTTGGGAAATACTAGAAAAGTGCAAAGCTAGACGTGGTGTTGTAAAATTACCTTGTTGTTTGGGAAAGAAAAGGCTTTCACTGCAGGATGCTCTGGGAGGAGGAGAAGGGCACTGAATGGGTGTCATTGAGTTGAATGGCTTGGATGGGTGCACTGATCAGAGGATAAAAAACTGTCTGGGTGGTGGTAAATGGAACCAAATCCAGTTGATGGCCAGTCCAAAGTGGTATTCCCCAGGTCCAGCAGTGCTCAATATCAGTGATCTGGGTTAGGGAATTGAGTGAATCCTCAGTCCATGTGCAGGTGACACCAAGGTAGATGGGAGTGTTGATTGCTGGAGGGCTGGAAGGCTCTCCAGTGGGATGTGGACATGGCCTCAAGTTGCATCTGGAGATGTTTAGATTGAATATTTGGAAAAATCACTTCATGGTTGTCAAGCATTGGGACAGGCTGCCCAGGTGAGTGATGGAGTCACCATCCCTGGATATGTTTAGATGGTGTTTGGATGTGGTGCTTGGGGATGTGGTTAGTGGTGATCTTGGTAGTATGGTTGGACTTAATGATCTTAAAGAGCTTTTCCAAGCTAAAGGGTTCATTGATTTTGAAATGGGTGTTGTTGGTACCCAATCCTGGTGCTGAAATTCACTGTTTCATAGCCCTCTTAAAAGTAGTTTTGAGGATTAAGCAATTTTCAGGGGTAAAACCTTTAAATTCAATTCCTTTACTGTAAAAGAGCTAATATTAAAATATTTATATATACTCATGTAATGGATATATGGCCAAAATATTTGTGATACTAAGGCCCATCTCCTCAAAGTAGCTAAGTGCCTAATTGCTTTTATTTCAAAGGGAGATAGACTCTAAATTAGAATTATGTCTCACTCTGAGCTAGATTTATCTGAGTATTTAGTAATTTTCCTGCCTTTGAAATCAGTGAGCATCAGTATTAAAAATTAACTCATGGGATTATGTATCCCCTAGCCTTCAAGTGAAACTTCAACTCCAGAACAAATACATTAAACAACATTTCATTTGAATAACTGAAATCAATGAGAGTTATGCAGCTGGGGGCTTTGGAAAGTCCCTGGAGTCTTTCACCTGCATCTTTCAGCACTACACGTCTTTCAAATTGTGGCCCTGAGGCGCTGCTGAATGTGTTATCTGTCCTCTTTAATAGGATGTACATGATACTACTATTATAGATGAGATTTCGGCTCTCGTATCTCTGGCTGATGAGGGATGGAGATTTGCAGGTACAGAACAGCAAGTCCCTAATGAGAGGAAAGGGCAGAAATGCCATTGGTTTCTAACTGACAGTTGGATAAAAACCTGAAAGCATGTCTAATTCAAGCTGCTAAAAAGAAAGTGAGGATTGAATACATTGAAATAATGGTGCTCCCTGTCTTCAGAATCATGCTTTTTAAACTGAAAAGCATTTCTTTT